TAGAAATGATCATGCATACAAATGACTCCGAACTAGGTGCGTTCCTCTAAGTCTTCCTACCAATATGACCAAGTTGCGAAAACAAGATCAAACAACCTTTATGCATCGAAAGGAAACTATGACCACACCATCTTGCTCTTCATACATTAGATTAATTTTTTGAGTTGTAATGTTTTTTAAATTTTCTTTTATTATTTCATTAGATATTTCTTGCCATCCCGGGCCTATTGGGGATTGCTTAGGAAGCCCTTCATCTACCGTGCCCTCGGGCACTAATGCTTCTGTGAGTGTCATTTCTAGCTCCGGGCCATCAACGACCTGGGGTGGCGGATGGATGGGCTGGGTAGGTAGCGCTCTCAAGGCCTCTGCGGCCTACCTGCCACATCAAGTGTCCGAAGTGTTTGCTCAAGACCGCTCATTTGCGTGGGCGAGAGTGCCTATGTCTGGTCCCGCAGTCGTCAGCTCAACCGGACAGACAGTTGGTGGAGGTGGCGGCCCTGGAAGCTTGCCCAGCTCTGGATACGGTTCCACGGGGTCAGCGGATTCAGGTCGGCTAAATTTTTAAGATGTGCCTAATTCATTTCGTATATTAACTTTAGCAATAATATTTTTTCTATTCTGTCTTTATTTACTTCTCAAACACACCTTGTTTTTGTCTTAATCTAATAAAACTATATTGAGATAATCTCACCTCGCTTCTCATATGGATAAATAATTATGTCCCAGTTTCTATTCCTTGGGATTACGTTGACCTGTATTATTTTCTTAAGCATGAATACGGACTGGAAACATCATATGCTATATGCGTGCGAATGGAAATATATATAGAGAGAAGCTGGGTTTTGACGAATCTTCTATGAAAATCATGTTTCCATACCTTTTATTTCATTTAAAAAGGCGAATGGAAGGGATTCGTAAATCAGCCTCGCCGGAAACCATTGCCTAGTGTTTGAGACTGCAGATTTACGCGAAGGGAGGGAGATCTTCTTTTCATAAGAGGTTACTTTATCATGCAACAAAATGTTAAGGCTTTTGACTCCAGAAATCAGAATTGGCTTGCACAAGACACTGGAAAGACTGGTGTAAAACCAAATGCTTTGTAGCATATGAGGATTCCACGAGTAAGCGGAAGATTATAGAGTCTATAGTAATAAAAAAATCGACCAACAACCTGCAAAGAAGGAACGTGCGTATTTAAGTAAATGTGAACTACTTATAGCTATTGGATAAGTCTATTAAAAGGAATGAAGAGGAGAAATAAGCACTGCCAGGCAAGAGAAGGCTTGATCAGCTTCGGATCATCTCGTTTGGGATCTTACACTTGGTTTAGCTCATAAGAATTGCATACACACCACGCATGTACAAACGAATACAATTACTAATCCAAGTGAGGATGTTGTTATCTAGTCATAATTGCATCCATTTGGCATGAAACTCGTAGCCACATCATTTATCCGTAAGCATGTAAGAGAAGCATGAACTAGGCATAAACATCCTGAGGTGCCTTAGTGAGTGTATAACGTCTGGCTATGCAAAATAGTTAGGATTGCAGCCAGCCATCTTTCTTCCCTTAACGACAAGTAAGCTTTGTTAAGGCATGGTTTTAAACTGAGATTATCCATAGAATGACAGAAGAACGATCGGCACATATTCTTTAAACTCAAAGGATGGAATAGTGAAGACTTCTTCGAATAAATTTAAGATCACTCCAATGCAATCCTCCTTTGATTTCTGGTAAGGCCACTTTACGAATCCCTCTCCTCCGCCTTTTCAAATGAACGAAAAGGTCTGAAAACATAAATTATTCTCCATTGAGGAGTATTTCAAAGCGTCACCTCAGCAGCCAACAGTAGTTATGCGATATTTGGACGACTACTTCGCAATTTGGTCGCCTGGAAAAGAAAAATTAGACGATTTCCTGGCCTTCATAAACGGAGTGGATGAAAAAGTCAAATTTGTCATGGACGTGGAATAAAACGGACAATCACCTTTCTTGGATATGGAGGTTATTCGCTCCGAGAAGACTTTAAAGAAAAGACTTTTCCGGAGAAAAACGCATGCCGGAATAACTT